AATGCTTAGTTTGGTAATGTCGACGACATACATTGTATTCTTGGCACAGTTAGGTGTTTTTCATAATAGAATTTTTCCATCTAAATCATTAACAAAATAATCCACACTCCACACTGTCCCTTAAATGGGTAATGTTCAAAGTCCGCTTTTGTCTTGTTTTACCACATGGTGATATACTGGTAATTTAAAACTAATAAAATGACAGAATGCACGGTACTTGAACAACTAACTGAGCTGTAACCGCAGCACTGCGATCTGTAGCAGCACAAAGTGGTGAGACCACATGCGATCTCGTTTGCAGCTACTCCACTCTGCTGTTGTGTGAAAGCAGCTAGCTGCAAACGAAGGGACATGGCTGTGTTCCAGTAAAACTACTGATAGATGTTGAAGTTGGAATTTCATAGAATTCTCACACATCCTGAAATACTCCTGATTTTTTTCATCCATTTAAAAGTGTAGGAACAGGGGTGCCTGGGTGGCTCAGTTGTTAAGCGTCTGCCTTTGGCTCAGGTCGTGATCCTGCGGTCCTGGGATCGAGCCCCACATTGGGCTCCCTGCTCAGCGGGAAGCCTGCTTCTCCCTCTCCCACTCCCCCTACTTGTGTTCCCTCTCTCGCTCGCTCTCTCTCTGTCAAATGAATAAATCTTTATAAATAAATAAATAAATAAATACAGCAGGGGCACCTGGGTGGCTCAGCCGGTTAGGCTTCTGCCTTCGGCTTGGGTCATGGTCCCAGGGTCCTGGGATCTAGCCCCGCATCGGGCTCCCTGCTCCGCGGGAAGCCTGCTTCTCCCTCTCCCACTTCCCCTGCTTGTGTTCCCTCTCTCACTGTGTCTCTCTGTCAAATAAGTAAATAAAATCTTTAAAAATAAATAAATAAATAAATAAATTAGCTCATGGGTGGTGAAAAAAGAAAAAATAGGTTGGGCTAGATTTGGCCTGTGTGCATCATTTGATGACCCCTGAATGTAGAAGGCCCCGTATTCACCACCCATATTGGAAGTATCTTTCTCTCCAAAGCCACTTTTAGTAATTTCACCAGCCTTGGATTCAGTCTCAGTTCCTGCCGATGCCACAGAAGGGGCTTAGAAGAAACATTACAAGGTTTTCTGTGGTAAAACACTAAAGGTTTATTTGCCCAGCTGTCATAATCTCCTCAATTCCCAGTAATTTTTTTTTTTTGACGGGAGGTAGCTAAGGTTAAATTTTGTTAGTTTTTTTTTTTTTTAAGGTTTGATTTATTTTTTTGACAGAGAGACAGCGAGAGAGGGAACACAGTAGGGGGAGAGGGAGAAGCAGGCTTCCCGCCGAGCAGGGAGCCCGATGTGGGGCTCGATCCCAGTGGGACCATGACCTGAGCCGAAGGCCCCTGCTAAACCGACTAAGCCACCCAGGCGCCCCTCCTTTTATTTTTTTTTAAAGATTTTATTTGAGAGCCAGAGAGTGCACGCTGGAGGAGGAGCAGAGGGAGGGGGACAATCAGACTGTGCTGAGTGCGGAGCCTGACTTGAGCTTGATCTCAGGACCCTAAGATCATGACTTGAGCAGAAACTGAGTCAGATGCTTAACTGACTGAACCACCCAGGCACCCCTAAATTTTATTTGGTGGATATTTTGGTTTAATGTGAATAGAAGACAATGCTCTTTTGTTCACTTCTATTGGTCTCTTGCTTTTGATGCTAGGAGCAAATTAGTCTTATACAAGCAAGTTATGCTTGGTGGTTTAAAGGACTAGCTTTGAACTCAGATTCATAGGAACAGGCAAGGTCATCCTTGTGTTTTCCTCATGTTCTTTATCTCAGTAACTAAGATTACTGTGGGTGCCTGAGGTGAGATGAGGAAAAAAAAAATCAAGTCTTTAACCATAGGGGTACAAATACTGTGGTCCTAGAATATTAGTATTTACCTTCTGTTTGGATTTAGTAACTAAGTTGTTACTTAAGGTCTGGTAGTGTTTGGAACATGGGAGTATTCTGAGGTACACTCTGGTCTAAGCCACTCCTGTCCTTTACCTGGATTATTATAGGCAATATCTACTAATTTCTTCTGACCTTGTCCTATTGAAATCTGTTCTACATTCAGCAGCCAAAATGATCCTTCTAAAACATAATTCTGATCATGTTACTTTTCTACTGAAAACTTTCCATTGGCTGCCCACATTACCCAGAAGAAAACCAAAGTCCTTAAATGGCTTGTAAAGCCCTGTTTGTTCACCCATGTCTTTGTACCACTATCTTCCCCCTAGAATATAAGCTCCGGGAATGAAGAGATACTTAAATTGTCAAACCACCATTGCCTAGAATAGTGCCCGGCAATGTGGTAGGTACTTAATAAATTTTTTGTTGAATAAGTGGACAAATTGCGTAGAGGGGAAAAGCTATATTGTTGGCAGTGCCATGGTATCTTGTTAATAATTTGGTATTTGACCAAGGGAGAAGTATGCTTGTGGACTCTCCAGATGACACAGGCAGGACAAGTTGGGGAGGGTGCATATAAAAATGGGTGGCAGGGATGACTGAGGGCTTTAGGTGTCTCCTTATTGTCACAGAATAACAGGGCTAGATCCTCAGATTTGCTTCTTCACCCATTGTTAACAATGGAAGATTGAAGATTTGTTGGGATGATAAAATTCTTGCTGGTGTCCAAGAGGAGGTTACTTAATAGGAAGAAAACATGATGGGGGGGCGCCTGGGTGGCTCAGTCGGTAAATGTCTGCCTTCAGCTCAGGTCATGATCCTAGCGTCCTGGGATCAAGCCCTACATCGGGCTCCCTGCTCTGTGGGAACACTGCTTCTCCCTCTCCAGCTCCCCCTGCTTGTGTTCCCTCTCTCGCTATGTCTCTCTCTGTCAAATAAATAAAATCTTAAAAAACAAAACAAAACATGATGGGGTAATGAAATGGAAAGGTGTGTGTGTGTTTGCTAGCTATCTGGTTAGAATCTTAAGGATGGGTGTATTAGAATAGTCGTTTCTTTCATTCAGAGCATTGTAGAGTAAGCGGTTCTCAGTCCTGGAGACTTCCCTCCAGCTGACTGATGTGAGCCCCTGCGCCTCTGCAGTTAGAAACAAGGAGAAGTTTTGGCTCATGTAACCTAAGATATGTTCTAAGAATAAGTGGCAAGAATATATGGAAAAATATTTTGCAGGAAAGTTTTTGAAAGTGCTATATTACTATTTATCAGCTAAGTAGATGTGAACACTGTCATTAATTTGGTAAAGGGGCTGACTGAATACTAATGTTATCTGGATAAAATAGTCTTTTTTTAAAAAAATATTTTATTTATTTATTTGACAGAGAGACAGAGAGAGAACACAAGCAGGGGGAGTGGAAGAGGGAGAAGCAGGCTTCCTGTGGAGCAGGGAGCCCAATGCGGGGCTAGATCCCAGGACCCTGGGATCATGACCTGAGCTGAAGGCAGACACTTAACTACTGAGCCACCCAGGCGCCCCTTGATAAAATAGTCTTGTTAGTTTTTTTTTTTTAAAGATTTTTTTTATTCATTTGAGACACAGAGATAGAGAGAGAGAGAAAGCATGAGCAGGGAGAGAGGCAGAGGCAGAGGGAGAAGCAGGCTCCTCGCTGAGCCAGAAGCCTGATGTGGGGCTCGATCCCAGGACCCTGGGATCATGACCTGAGCTGAAGGCAGATGCTTAACCATCTGAGCCACCCAGGCACCCCAGTCTTGTTAGTTTTAAGAGTAGGGTTTTTTTTTTTTAATTTTATTTATTTATTTTTATTATTATTATTTTTTAAAGATTTTGTTTATTTGACACAGAGGCACAGCGAGAGAGGGAACACAAGCAGGGGGAGTGGGAGAGGGAGAAGCAGGCTTCCCGCCGAGCAGGGAGTCCGGTGCGGGGCTCGATCCCAGGACCGTGGAATCATGACCTGAGCTGAAGGCAGATGCTTAACGACTGAGCCACCCAGGCGCCCCTAAGAGTAGGTTTTTATTGCCTCTTCCTAGTGTTAATTACCTGATTGCCTTTGGTATAGGTCAAGATTTTATTGCTTGGGTTTTCAGTTTACTCAGCAAACATGTATCACTGTTTAGGTATACAGAGTTTGCAGTCCTTTGAGGGAAATTGACATTAATGGATATAATGAGATGAGCGTAAGGAGAGACATGTCTAGGGTAACACCAAGAAGCAGTACCGAACTCAGCCTGTGTGCACCAGGGACGGCTTGCTGGGGGAGGAGGTGTTTAGGCTGAGGGTTCACATGTACCAAGAGACCATAGCTTAAGCAAATATATTCCTTTCTTTTCCTGGCTGGGTAGGCAGGGTTCAGCTATGTGCAAACCACAGATTTCAGAGAAAGCTAAGGTGGGTATCTTTAATTGAGTGAATGCTGAATAAATAAGTGAAAAAGCAATATGGATGAATGGTAAGCTTTAATAAGCTAGGAGTAAGGACATTACATACTTGCTGATCTTGGAACTTTGTTTTCCTATTTGTTTTGGATAATACTACATAGCTTTGATGTATGGCTGTGTTAGTAATGTTTAGATCTGAGAATATTTAAATAACTGGATCAAAATCTGGGCTGGACTTGTGCTTTGAGGGATGAGGATGGGAAGTTGTTTTAATTTGAAATGTGTTAAATTCAGTTCGGCATACCTCAGTTACATTTTTCTGTTTCAAGTATCTGATTCTTCTGAAGTAATTGTCCAGGTTAAATTATGGAATTCGTGAATTAGTCTTGCATAATGCAAACCGTAGCACCTGAAATATTGCCAGTGAGAGTATCAGGTTTTAAGAGGAAGGTTTTAGTTGCCGTTCTGCAGCCTTACTGTATGTACGGGGTTGGATGGATAAAAACGTGTGTGAGACAGAAGACCCTCAGGCAAGTATGCTTTGAGAGAGAAGCCTGTGTCCACCTGGAGTAAAGTTGAGGGTTAAAGTAGAGTTTTTGCTTAGAGATTTCAAGCATCTGTATTTCACGATACAATCTGCAAGGTTTGGGTAGTTGTCTTAACCCTGCTTGTTTCCTCTCTTTCCAGAATTGTATCCTGACTTTGTAAATTGGAGAAGACCGTGACACTGCCAGTGTTCTTTTGCGGGTAGTGTCTGTTTGGGATCCCGTGCAAGTTGAATCATTGTTCAAATAAGGTAAATGCATGGTGCTAAAAGGAACTAATAGTAACTTCATTGGCTTATAAAACCAGCCTTATGTTAAGAGTTGCTTATCTAGAAGATTCCTTAATAGAAGTTCTGGGTTCTTATTAAGCAGTGTTTATTTTTCAGCTTAATAAACAAACAAGATGATAAAGTAGCTCTGCTCTCTCTGATTCTATTGTAAGTTGTAGAATCAACAGTTAACCTTTTTTATTTTAACTAACTTAATAACATGTTTATCCATTAGGAAGTATTGAAAGATCATCCATAAACTTGACATATATATAATCATTGTTAATATTTTGGTGAATAGTCTCTTTTCATGCATGTGTTACTTGGATATGTGGTGTGTGTTTAATCAAAATCTGGGCTGGACTTTGTCTCACCTGGTTCTTGTTAACATTCCCCATTTGCATTTTTAAGTGACTCATGGCATTTCATCATGGATATGCCATGTAATTTAAAATTATCTAACTGGTTCTTTTTTGGTAGACATTTAGGCTCTTCTGCATTTTTCCCTGTCTGATAACTATGTGATAGACGTGAATACACTTACGTATACATTTGATTTTCCCTCAGTATATTTTCTTAACTTTAAAAAGCATTTTATATATTTATTGTATTTTTTTGTCTTACTTAATACATGTGTAAAAATCCTTCCTAGTTTCTAGAAGCAATCATTGCCAACTCTGTTTCTTTTGCTATTGCTTCTACATAATAAGCTTATTTTGCTACTTAGTGATTTTCTGGTTTTTGGTATTTGTTAATTTCCCACCTTGGATGGTAGTGGTTTCTGGTAGAATTCCTGACCACCTCACACATTCACATTTATTGTCACTCTGTTATAATGTAATTTTGGTTAGAGCAGTATTCATTGTAGGAGGTTTATGGTTGTGTATAACTTACAGCCAAATCATTTTACATGCTATGGTTAATTTCCTGTTTTGCATATCTTTTTATTTTCTGTTGTTAGTATCTTTTTTTTGGTCTGTTTTGCTTAATTTCTATTTCTCATCAGTAATTAATCTTTAAACTCTACCCAGAAGTGTAAATCTTCCTCAATATTTTATTTTTTATTTTATTTATTTATTTTTAAAGATTTTATTTACTTGACAGAGATAGCGAGAGAAGGAACAGAAGCATGGGGGAGCTGGAGAGGGAGAAGCAGGTTCCCTGCTGAGTAGGGAGCCCAGCCACCCAGGCTCCCCACTTCTCAATATTTTAAACATTTTAGCCATATTACAAGTTTTATCTTTCTGGAGATACCTTCTGATCTCCATTTTGGATGTTCTCTAGGTAGCTGCCCAGCTGTCATGCTTGCTATCTCAACATCATCATCCTCATGACTTTTCCTATGTCTCTTGTGCTGGATCCCATTATCTTTTTCCCATATCCTTTCCTTCTTGATTGAATCTCTTGTTTTGGAAGAGTACCTTTCTCCATTGGCTTCTTGAGAAAAGGGTACACAGGTGGTAAATTGTTTATGTCTAAAAATGCCTTTATTCTACTTTCATGTTGATTTTTAGTTTGGCTGGGTATAGAAGTCTAGTTTGGAGATAGTTTTCCTTCAGAATTTTGAAGATACTGCTCTATTGCCCTTTGGCTTTCACTGTTCATGAGATGTCAGTTACCTTTGACCTATGAAACTTTAGAACTTCTCTTTCCCAGCATTCTGAAATTTTATAATGATGTTTTTCGTCTGGCTCTTTTCATCTAATGTGCTGGTAACTTAATGGACTGAAAGTTAATGTCCCTCAGTTCTGGGAAATTTTCTGGAATTATGTCCTTGATTTTTCTCCCCTTTATTTTCTCTATTCTTTTTGTGGAATTGTTAATTGGATTTTGAATCTTTTGAACTGATCCTGTAAATTTAAAATCTTTTTTTCTGTTGTTTCCATCTCTGTTTACTTTGTGGGAGATTTCTTTGATTGAATTTTTTTTTTAAAGGTTTTATTTATTTATTTGACAGAGAGACAGCGAGAGAGGGAACACAAGCAGGAGGAGTGGGAGCGGGAGAAGCAGGCTTCCCGCTGAGCTGGGAGCCTGATGTGGGGCTTGATCCCAGGACTCTTAATGACTGAGCCACCCAGGCGCCCCCCTTGATTGCATTTTCTAGACTGTTGTTTTTTTCCACTTACGTTCATACAATATTTATTTTTCATATTCATCAACTTTTTTTTTTTAAGATTTTATTTATTTATTTGAGAGAGAGAGGGAAAGCACAGAGGAAAAGTTGAGAGGGAGAAGCAGACTCCCTACTGAGCAGAGGGCCTGATGTGGGACTTGATCCTAGGACCCTGGGATCATGACCTGAGCTGAAAGCAGATGCTTAACCGACTGAGCCACCTAGGCACCCCATCAACTTTTTTAAGTAATCTCCACCCAGCATGGAGCTCGAACTCATGACTCCCAAGATCAAGAGTCACATGCTCTACTGACTGAGCCAGCCAGGTGCCCCCATGTTCATCAACATTTTTATTTACTCCATTCTTCATATAACTCTGAACAGCCGCAGTCCCTATAAGAATATAGTTATGCTCTTCATATGTATGCAGAAACTTGTGCCTTCTATGGCTGCCAGGACAAACTGGCAGTACTTAAGTTTTCTTCCAATTGCTGTAGATTACAAAGCCCTTCCTTCCCACCTCTCATGAAGGCTTTTCAATTTACTGACATCATGGATGATAAGATTTATTATTTATGTTATTATGATAAGAACATTTAAGATGAGATCTGTTCTCTTAACAAATTTTTAAGTGTATATAATTGTTGACTATAGATAGAGCATTGTACAACAGATCTCTAAAGCTTATTCGTCTTATTTAACTGAAACTTGATGCACTTGATTAATAACTGCCCATTTCTGCCTACTTCCAGCCCCGTGACAACCACCATTCCACTCTGAATCTATGACTCTGTGAGATTGATGCCTCATAGAAGTGGATCATACAGTATTTGCCTTTTTGTGACTGGCTTATTTCACTTAGCATCAGGTCTTCCAGGTTCATTAGTGTTGTTGCATGTTACAGAATTCTTCTTTTTTTAAGGCTGAATAGTAGTCCATTGTATGTATATTCCACATTTTCTTTATCCATTCTTCTGTTGATGGACATTGAGGTTCTTTCCACATCTTGGCTATTGTGAATAGCGCTGCAATGAACATGGGAGTTCTAGTATCTCTTTTGGATAAATACCCAGAAGTGGAATTGCTGGATATGTATTCTTATATTTTTAATTTTCAGGAGCTCCCTTTTGTTCTGTGAAGCAGAGAGGTGAAATAGTATAGTATTTAAGATTGTGGATAGTTTCCTCATGTGTAAAATGAGAGTAATAATAGTGTGAAAAATAAAAATAAAAAAATAGTGTATGTCTCATGGCAGTGTTGTAACAAGTGAATTAATTATGTGAAGCATTTGGAGAAGTGTCTGGTATTACTTTATTATTCTGTTCCTGTCCTTTTATGATGGATACAATATCTTTTATCTCTGAGAAAACTAATAAATAGGTTTACCCAGACCTATCAGATAGACACTAATATTTTCTTTTTCAGTGGTTTTTAAATATTTTTTTAATATATCAGGAATTTTATTTTTGTTTATGGTAAGAAGAAGGAATCTAACTTTTTGTGCCAAGTTGTTAATTGGTTGTCCTGACTCCTCATTTATCCTTTTACCTAGTGATTTGAAAAGCCACCTTTGGGGGCGCCTGGGTGGCTCAGTTGGTTAAGTGTCTTGACTCTTGGATTCAGCTCAGGTCATGATTTCATGGGTCGTCAGATTCCGGGCTCAGCGGGGAGTCTGCTTGAAGATTCTCTCCCTCTGCTCCCCCCAACCCACATTCTCTCTCTTCTCTCAAATAAATAAATAATTTTTTTTTTTTTTTTAAGATTTTACTTATTTATTTGAGAGACAGAGAGCAGGGAGTGAGGGGGCAGAGGGAGAAGCAGGCTCCCTGCTGAGCAGGGAGCCCAATGCAGGGCTCAATCCTAGGACCCTGGGATCATGACCTGAGCCGTAGGCAGATGCTTAAACCGACTGAGCCACTCAGGCACCCCTAAATAAATAAATCTTAATAAAAGAAAGAAAGAAAGGAAAAGCCACCTTTGTAAAGTGTGTCTTACAGGGTATGTTTCTTTTGGGGGAGGTAATATTTCTTTTTTTCTTCTTTAAAAATATTTATTTGTCAGAGAGAGAGGGTGAGAGTGAGCGTGCGCAGCATGAGCACAAGCAGAGGGAGCAGCAAGCAGAGGGAGAAACGGACTCCCCACTGAGCACGGAGCCGGATGCGGGACTCGATCCGAGGACTCTGGGATAATGACTGAGCCGAAGGCAGATGCTTAACCGACTGAGCCACCCAGGCGCCCCCCCGGGGGGGTATTTCTAAACTTTATATTTTGTTCCATTTATTTCTCAAATCTTGTACTAATACTCAATGTTTTTATTGTAGCCTTACTTCATCTTTTACTTAGTGATGCAAGCCTTTCTTTCCTCTCCACCCTCAGGAAACAAAATATAATTATATCCATACTTCATATTTTCATCCATAGAGAAATATGTCAGTTCTTCAAGAGATTTAAGTATTGGTAATTAGAAAATAAAATACTAGAAGGATATGTACGTAGGAAATCACTTGCGTAATTTTTTAAATAAGCATACTGGATTTTAACCTCTTTTTTTTTTTTTTTTTTTAAGATTTTATTTGACAGAGAGACAGAGAGAGAACACAAGCAGGGGGAGTGGGAGAGGGAGAAGCAGGCTCCCTGCAGAGCAGGGAGCCCGATGCGGGGCTCGATCCCAGGACCCTGGGATCATGACCTGAGCCGAAGGCAGACTCTTAACGGCTGAGCCACCCAGGCACCCCTGGGTTTTAACCTCTTAAGATTCTTATCTTTGTCTTTCAAGGCTGCTTTTGATTTTTTTGCTTAAGTCAGCAGACGCTTGAGTCCTTGACTGTGCCTGCTGTATGTGCTGGGGATACCAGCAGTGAGCAAGACA